TGTTTGGAATTTCAAGAAAGTTTTAAACACACAGACAGTGAATTTGAAGAAAACACACATTTGAAAAATGCCTTCAAGAATATCAGTGCATGTGGATCAAAACCACTTGATACAGATGCTCTCCAAAATAATTTTTTGAAGGAGAGTTATCCTAAACAAGCATTAGATGAAGAAAAAGCAAAACTGGTGAAGCAGATTCAGGAGAAAGAAGACCTTCATCAGAGACTAAAACTAGTCAAAATGCATAGATCGAAGAATGACCTGTCTCAATTACAGCTGTTAATAAAGAAGAGGAGAAGCCGTAGCCAGCTGTTGCTCTACGAGTTGCAGTCAGCTATGTCTGAAGAGAACAGGAAACTAAGCCTGACCCATAGACCATTATGGGTTTGATCTAACCCATAATGGTCCACTACAACAGAAGTGAAGAAGAATTTGTGTTTAACTCTTAAGTTTTTCTCCAGAATATCTTTGAGAATGACAACTTAATTAAGAGATACACATTTTAGAGGGAAGATAACCATTAGGGCTTAAAGGAAGGTAACCAATGGACATGAATTTAGGATACACTTACACAAACTCAGGTCTAAATGGAAACAATTTTTCCGATATATTTGCTAACATCTATCCAAACACAATCTTTGAATTGTGTTTAAAAAGTAACTTGGCCAATTCTGGAAACCAATTTTAATATATTGCTTTGTTTTTCATAACAGAAAGTTTTATTTTAAATGTTAAAAAATTGGCCAATCTGGTCAGTGTCTAAACCTAAACTGGTCTAATATGCTTGCCTAAGTTTTTTCATTCATTTGCTACAGGTTTTCATCTGATGATCTATTAGGTACTTAAACTGATAATGTCTGAAGTTAAAAAAAAAGGTATGACAAAATAAGATAGTAACTTCTAATGTCATTTTAAGACAAATCTCAAAGGAGTATCTTTAATATTCCTAAAATAAATTAACATGGGGACCAGCAGATGGTGTAATGGTTACATCACTGAACTCCATTGTAGTCAACCATGGTTCGAGTCTTGGAGCCAGTAGCTTAAAACTCAGGCCAGGCATGTGTGTGGCGTGCCTGAAATCCCGAGAGGAGAATGGAAAAGCGACTGTGGCATGGCATCTCTCCTGGGGGGTGATTTCTTGTTTTGTGTTTCTCTCTGGCAAGCACACATGCACTATAGCAAAAATCCCTCTAAAAAAAAAAAAGGGGCTGGAAGGTAGCGTGGTGGTTAAGAGTGCTGGACTCCCACATGGCCGACCACAGTTAAGAGTCCCGGACCTGGCGGCTTGCTTGCTTGCTTTCCCTCTCTCGCTATCTCTCTTTCTCACTCTGTCCTCTCTGGTCGAATTAAAATAAAGTTAACATAATTTTAGAAAATTAATATGAATTTACATTTTCAATCAAGGTAAAAACTAGTCACTATAGGATCACTTACTAATTCTAACGTAAGCAATTCCTAATGCAGATTTGAAAAGAGTTCTCAGATAATTCTTCTACACAAGGAAAATATGTAGATTTATTTTCTTTAAGCTAAGGAATGTCTATCCCACCTTGATATAGGAAATTGGTTTTTAATATTTCCAGTATTTAATATTACACATGTATTTATGCCCACATTTTAAAAAAAGTTCTTATTGAACTTTATAAATGTATTTTTATATGTTTTTTTTTTTTGGGAGGGTTTTTTCCTAGGGGACATGC